ACCCTCGGCGGGAGCGCCGCCGGCCCAACCTTTGAATTTCAAAAATGTTGTTTGAGGGCATTTTAAAATACAGTAGTCATATATATGTATACACACACACACACACACACACACACATATTTATGGTACAGAGTTATCAGTATCTGTGTATCTTGAGAAGGGGGAACAAAGAGAATTTTATGTTCAAGTCAGGGCATAAAGGGAAAATTGAATATACTCCAAATTATACCCCCTCCCCAAAAATCTCCCTCAGAACTTCAAGAACCCAGCTCTTAAAGCTTAGAAACCAACTTACCAGCCAGCACCCCTCCACCTCCCCCCCACCAAAAAAGCTTGGAAGGCAAGAACTAACTTTTCTTTTTGCATGTAGGTGTAGCCTCCATTTCCTGGGGGGACGTAGAGACCTTGGTCTAGTCTGAACTAGAGGAAAGCAAGGGGGTAAAGGGACTATTATTTTCTTCTGGCAAAGTGTAAGTGAATTCATACTAAAAACCCCTATGATGGAGCTACATTGCCATCCTTACTATACAAACAAATTAGTTTCTGGTGTCCATAAAATTCATTAAGACAAATCTTCAGACTCTAAAACTCAGCCTCAGTTTCGTGAAAGATCTCTCCTATTGTACTGACAGGGGGGATAAGTCAAAATGAAATCAAGTGTCTCATGTTTTTCTGTCGATTAGGTGGAATTTGTGCAAGAACTCCCAAAGACCATCACTGGGAAAATCAAACGCAACGTTTTGAGAGACCAAGAATGGAGACGAACATAGCTTGATAAGAAAACTGAAGAATTAAGAAGTAACATGGTTGCTTTCTTTTAGAATTTGCTTCCTGATAATTCAGTGACTGCTCTCTTAAAATGTTTAAGATTTTTCCTGGTTGAAAATTGAACTGAGTTTGTGTTTTGTACTTAGCCAAAAAAATTTTAAGAGAAAAAAAAATCTAAAAATATTTGAGAAGAAAATTTTATAATGACCAAATTGACAAAGGTAATGATTATAATGATTTATAATGTTTAAAATGGCAGGAGTCTAATGATTACTTAAAAGGCCAGTACACAATTAATCTGTATTTCATTTATCTTATGCCTGATTAGTTAAAAATAAAGAACTACTCTATGAAAAATGTTCGGGACACACTTTCTTGTGCTTAACATCTTTGTTAGATCAATACTTAAAGGTAGATTAAAATACTAATGTTAAAATGAGGAGTATAAATAATTCAAAAGCCATTAAACAAATTTAAATAAATTAAGTACTGTATTATTATACCTCATTTTGAAGCAAATTTACTGTAAAATACCTGTAACTTGGATTATTTAGGAGAATTAATTATTCAACAGTAATAAATTTTTATATCTTTACTTTTTATGAGCATATACATAACTTTTTCATACATAATTTGACATATAAACATCTTTTATGATATATATACTATAAAACAAGAAATTTATTAAAAGGCAGAAAGAAGAAAAAGTACAGAACACCAATATTTAGGGAACAAATTTATTTTAATTTTTTCTGAAAATATCAGGAACTATGAAAAACAAGCTGCTGTACCAAAAGCAAAATACAAGTAAAAGTAACATTTGAAAATTATGTCTAACCTTAGAGAAACATGTTTTAAGATATCAAGTTTAACACTTTTTCCTCCATAAAGCAAAACAAATTTATTAAACCACAACACTGGAGTTTTGTTTTTTTTTTAACTGACATTAATTTTTTAAATTAAAAAACTAAAAGAAAAAAAGCAGTCAATTCCCCCCCGAAATCTCATCATTTATAAAATAACATGCTCAATGTCAGTGAAAATAAACAGCTGATAAATCTGAAATCAGATCTTCCAATGAATGAATTCAGATTCCAGCAGAACACAGAATTTTGCAGCTGGGGAAGAATAGCTATGTCACACCCAGGTCTTGCCAAATACAAATAAATAAAAAAGGCGATTAAAAACAAATTATGAGGGCCGGCCCGTGGCTCACTCGGGAGAGTGCGGTGCTGATAACACCAAGGCCCCGGGTTCGGATCCCATATAGGGATGGCCGGTTCGCTCGCTGGCTGAGCGTGGTGCTGACAACACCAAGTCAAGGGTTAAGATCCCCTTGCCAGTCATCTTTTAAAAAAAAAAAAACAAATTATGATCTTTCTGTTGAGCAGCAGCTTTCACAAAGTAAAAGGAACCCAGTTCCACAGTTGTAGGTTCTGTGGACACAGAGCCAATTGTATTCCCCGAGTCCCTTTGTCTTGCACTAACAAAGTAAAAGCATCTTTGTCTTGGAGCAAGTTCATTGAAGGCACCACAATCCTATCCTCTTTCCCCAAATGATACTAATAATACTATTATCGTCCTTTTAAGATGACTTCAACCTCATTAAGAGTTAACATTCTAAATATCTGAAGATATGTAAGGAAGCTCCAGCCCCATGTACATTAGCAAGGTCCTGCCTGTTCTCTTTGCCCCTCAAATCCTTCTAGTCTGGTTTACCGAGCAGGACCACTAACTAGGAGGATAAAACTATATTCCCATGTTCACTAGCCATTAAATAAACATAGTCACTTGGGTGGGAAGTCTTAACATTTATACTACTTCCTAACTCTTTAAAACTTGAGAATAAACCCATCTCCAAAAACTAATTTTATAGCCCCTTAATATCCTCAGTCTGGACAATTTATTTTGCAGAACTTGTTGACATCTATTCCTTCCAGCCTTTTTCAATCATTTTACCTAGAAGGAGCCCTTGAAAAAACTTTCGAATTCAGGGAACACCTGCAGGGAAACCTCATGATATGCGAGTGTGAGCATGAAGTTGACTCTTATTTCACAAAAATCCACAACTGTCAGAGTAGGGCTGAGTTCTTTCTCTTCCCTCACAGACAAAATCTTGGGCTGAGCAGAAGATTTAGAGAACCAGTTTCTCCTGCAGTCATACACTAACGCTGGGAAAAGGAGGGGAACTGCTACTTAACTCGGTTTTGCAGTTCTTCCAGGTGGGTTGTAGTGAGACTTGAGACTTATTCATTCCTTCACACTTAAGTCCAAGCAGCGGCAGAAACATTTCAAGAGGTCCTTTGGCAACGTGAGTGTTCCAGAGTCAGTTTCCTTCTAAATCTAAGACTCTTGTCACTTTAAGAAAAAAATCTTTTCTCCAGCACCTTGCAGAAACTTGTTTGTTTTTTTATGTGATGAAAAATGTCTACTGCATAGGCTAGTTTCTGTAGTCTTTCTCCATTTTCAAAGCACTTGGCAAAACCTGGCCTACTATTTTCTGGAAAGTACCCTAGCAATTCATCTTTCAACCTAAATATCCTGTCAAGAACTCTTCCTCTGATAAACCATTGTATGTCTGTATTCAACAGATGAGTGTTTTTGTTTGTGCAAATTTTAGTTTTGTGTTTTTGTTTTTTTAACATTCTTGCATAAATGGATCTTTAACAAATTTAACTATTTGTGTAGCATTATTTAGAACTTTCTTCATTTTGTTGCTAAGTGTTTGACATCAGCATCTCTATGAAGAAAGCAGTGTGCTATAATGTCAACATCAGGATTTCTTTTTTTCTTTTCAAATGAGGCAAAACTTGTTATGAAGCCAGCCACTGATGGGGCACGAAGAGTACAGATAACAGACCTTTGGTTTTTAGATATTGGAAGACACAACATTAAATACATACTGGCCTCTGTTTTGGGAGGCTCTTAGCAGCAAAAAAGTTTCTTTCAATTTCAATCATTTACAAATTTTACAAATGCTACAGTATGACAAACATTCATGAAACCTGTTGACTCATCAACCTGGATAGAGAAGTTGCTGCTTTTCCGTTAACTACACAGAACTTTTTAGCATTATGTGACATACCATTAGTAATTCAACTTACTAAACTGAGAGTAAAGTCTTTTCAACTTGTTGTATTGCATCTTGCCCTAGCATTTTAATGTTGGCATTATTAGATTCTCACCAACTATGTGAATTTTTCTTTTCTGGAATAAGTACTGCTACTAAATAATTTGCTTCACAAACCTTTTCACTGAATGTGATTTTTGAACAAAATCTTTACTGTTTTGGTATTCCAAAAGCCATTTAAAATAATCAACACTCTTACTTGTCAAATGGCTGTGATTTATAGTTACAATTGCTGGAGCAAATACTAGATTTGTAAATTGCATGCCACAGAAAATGGACAACAGAATAGACAGGTGGGATTATGAGTCCATATAAAACCCTTGAGAAATAGCTTTCATTGTAAAGACAGAATTCTTTTGTGCCCCATGTTGCACAAGTATACTGAAGTAACTCAGAAGACTGGAATTCTTTATCACTAAACTTATAAAAAATGTCTGCAGCTCTACGCCTAGAAAGGTCCTCTTCTATATCACACCTTGCCTTCAAAAATTGCAAGAACTGGACTGTCAGATTTGTTTGTAACACACACGTGTTAATAAAATATAAAAACAAGACATAATAACCAAACAAGAAAATCGCAAAAAGTACAAAAAGGTCACAAAACAATTCACTTCTAACATACACAATCCATGTTTTTGCGATGTTTACTACAAAGTGGCAGGGGACAGCTGAGTTGCGGCACATAAAAATTCCTCCCTTAGGATGAAAATTTCCCTCTAATTTTCTACTTGCCCAGAGCTTGTTCACTCCCCTAAGTCAGCTGGCGGAGCATAAGAGGAGGCTGGGGAAGGTAATTATGAGGGAGAGCCCAGCATCAGCCTCCTTTCACCCTGCCCCACCATGCAACAGCGTGTGGGCCTATGCACACTGCCATACAGGGCTGAAAGATCTCTTACAAGACTGTTAACAGGGCTGTGCAATCATTGTTCACTACTGTGAGAATAGCATTATGCAGCACACAAAGGTCAAAAACAGTATTTTCAGTTACGACTTTACCTGGAACCCTAGCAACATCTCACAGAATCCCAGGTGACAAACCCACCTCCAACACCAAAAGACTTCCTATGAGAGATCACCTTCATTTGACTTGGATCCTTCTGTGATTTGACTTGCAAGTTCAGGTTTAGTACCTCCCTCATTCCCCCCCTGCATCTCAGACATTGGTTTTGCCTGCCCTAGCTCCTCACTATTCTCTGGTATCACTTGCTGGTTATTTTTTCCTTCTGCTGGGTCATTTTGATTTAATTTGTCACCGGATTCTAATTTAGCTTCTTTCACATTTTTTCCCTGCTTTGGTTTAAGCTGTGACAGATCCTTACCAATCTTCACCACCTCCTGGAGATTGTATTTCCTGAACAACATGTAATCTTTCACGACACTCAGGCAACAGACAACTTTGATGATTTCTACTACCACTGTGTACTGTGGATTGGTGAGATTCACTTTATTTTCTGAATTAAGGCTGCCCACTATTCCTGTAATGAAAATAGAAAAACAGCCTGTGAAGGATACCACTAAGCTTGATGGATACAAAAAATATTTCATCCCTTTCTGTTTGGGATGTGTTAGAACAAGATATAAACTAGTATAGTTTTCTATATGAACTTTAATCAAATTCCCTGAGCCCTTGCAATAAATAAATACAAATAAAATCCTGAGACATTTAATAAGAGTACTTTTTTCCCAAAGAAAATTCAATCTTGATTTGGGAAAAGACTAACTAGCTACAGGAAATCTCATATCCAACATAATGAAAACAGGATTGATTTATTTTAAGGACATTTTAATATACTTGTTCTGCACTCAACAATGTTAACATAAATCTTAAAAAAATCTTAAATCTTAAAAAAAAAAAAATCCTTAAAACACCTATGTAAAATCACAGAGAAACATACCTGCCAATTCCTTGATAACTTCTTCTCTATTCATGTGACTGTTATTTCGAGATTTGTACACAATTTGAAATGTCCCTTTGTTTGGAGCTTTAAACCAGGGTTCCAGAAATGTTTCTGCATATTTTTTCATATCTTCTAAGAAAGCCTTGCATGTGCCTGAGATGGGTAACATACGTAAAATAACCCGAGTCTTCTTCTTCTTGGTTTTGTACATATCTTGCAGAATATGATGCACCAATTTCTCAGGTTCTAAAAGAAAAAGGAAGAAAATCAGCACAGAATAAACAAGTAGGTTAAAAAGATAAGTTCTCAAACATTAAGATTCTTCAAACCCTCTAAAATGAATTTTCACTGAGTGACGTAAGTAGACAGAAGTAGAATTCTCATAATGAATTTTAGATGAATCTACCCATTTTTTCCAACTAATATTTCTTCAGCACCTACTACATATTAAATCTAGTATTTTAAGTTTTCATCATTATTACTGCTTTTGCTAAAAACAATTATTCATGTAGATACTGGAGTTAACATTTCTGTGTTGTCCTGATTTATCCAACCACAACATCATGCTGTTTTCCTACAACAAAGCAACTATCAGAGTAATAAACATTAAACACTACACACTTTTTTATAAAAAACAAAACAAAAACCTGCAAGTCACATAAAAAGATCTAATTAATTCATTAGCTATATTAGAAGTCTAAATCTCAGACCTGGGAGGAATCCCAGAACCATGCAGCGCACAAGATCACGAAGTGGTGGTCCTCGGGCTGCATTCTGCCTACATACAAGTCTGTCTGGGGCTGCTCAGTGTTCTCATTTATTTATTTATTTTTTTGGCAGGTGGCAAGCATGGGGATACAAACCCATGACCTTCATGTTATAAGGCTGTTCTCTAACCAACTGAGTAACCGGCCAGCCCCTACTATTTTTTAATTGTTGACTACCTTTAAAAAATAAACTTCTCTGGATTTCCAACTTCTTTTGAAAAATTGGAAGATCTGGCCCTGCAACTGGCTGGATCTGAGTAATAGCTGCAGCTGCCCCTTTTAGAAAGAACATGCACTCTCATTCTGCTTAAAGTTACATACAAAGGAAGTGGTTTCCACTCTTTCTGTGTTTGTTTTATTTTGTGGCTGGCCAGTGCAGGGATCCGAAACTTTGACCTTGGTGTTACCAGCACCACGCTCTCCCAAGTGAGCTAATCAGTAGGCTCTGGTTTCTGCTCCTAAACCAAGACTATGTCCACCACCCCATTCTACCTCTCCATACACCTATTGCTAATCCAGTGCAGAGGTGATGAAATCAAATGATTAAGTGAGCCATGCCTATTAAGCCATTTTGTATGCAGTGTTCTCTGAGATAGGGAGATGTCCAGTTATTATGGGATCAAAAATCTTAAGGTGTATTAGTCAGACAGACCTATCCCAAGTGTCCTGATGAAGACTACATTATTTGCCCCACTCTCCACTGACTGGAATCTTCTTAGCTTCATCTCTGTAGATGCCTTAATGTCATCAACTTCTTTCTTCAAGGCAGCCTCCACATCGTCGTCTTCTTCACTTCCAGAGGGCTGCTGGTCCTTGTCTGTAAACTGTTTGCATAAAACTAATAAGTAGCAATGACACAACCACTCATGTTTAAACACTATAATTAACTGCTTATGTGAAACCCCTCATGGCAGAGAGGTCAATATTGACAATAAAGTTTTTTATTAAGAGACTTAGACATCACTCACTCCAAAATGGGAGGGAGTTCCCTCAGATGGTACACACAATTTTAAAATGTTTTCAAAAGCATCTTGACAGTCTGGGACAGAGGGAAATGTGCTCACCAGATGATGAGATTAGACCAAATATTTATAGAATTAAAACCTTTGCTCCTGTTCTACTGAGAACAGTGCACATAATTAGTTCAAGAACTGGATCAAAACACCAGTGTAGACAACACATGCACCGGTTCTCTGCCTAACCAATGGGGTTGTCAATCAGACACTAATAATAACTTCGCATTTATGGAGCCTTTATTATACACCAGGATGTACTTAATGCACATAGGCAACTTTCTAGCCAACCCTATAAAGTACTAGCAGAATGAAGTAACATGCCCATCCATGCCCAAGTCCCAGAGCTAGTAAAGGATGGGGCCTGAATTCAAATCCCCTCTGTACTATCCTCCATTTATTCCTCCGGGTGTGCATGGGGGTCCCGGTTCACTTTCTAAGACAGTAATATATTTCCGAACTGCGATGGGACGATGAGGTTTTAGGTGGTATTGGTACAAAGGTTTTACTTTCTAAAATGTATCTTCACGTGCACTCGAGAAATAACTAGCACTACTACTAACTAATCCACTGTGCCAGAGACGGTGCTTAGGGCAAACACGTTCCAACAGACAACTTCACAAGGGTGTCGTGAGAAGTTCACGTTTCTAAAAGAGCTTCAGCACATCGCCCGCCCCACCAAGAAACAATCAATAAACGGGAGGTACAGGGAGTAACGATGGAGGGACAGCGGTGCAAGCGCCTCAAGAAAAGACCAACCGCAGGAGCCTGCGCGCGGGAACAGAGACTGCGGGCGGGACCAGAGCCTGCAAGCGGGGACCGAGCCCGTGGGCGGGGACCAAGCCGTGGGCGGGGCCGCGCCCCCCGTCGTCGCTCACCCGGCGACAGGTGCGCACGCGTACAGGCGCAGCCGGCCTCCCTCTTCCATCCAAGGCCGGCCCGCCCACCCAGAACGCGTACCTTCTCTGGCCCGTACAAGTCGTCTCCGTACTCGCTGAGCAGGCTGTAGGCCTCCTCCACGCACTTGCGCTCGTTCATGTTGCAGGTGATGAGGATGCCCTGAAGCCCGGGTTCCAGCTGCCGCGGCCCGCCGGCGTCGCAGCGCCGAGCCCGCTTGGCCTGCACGTACTGCACCTTGCCTCTGCGCTTCCCGCCGCCAGGCTGCGGGGGCTGTTGTACGGGGGTCGCCATCGTGCGTACGAGCTGAGGCGACCGAGAAACGTGCTTCTCTCCGGCTCTGCTCGTTCTTCCTCCACAGGCGCGGGCTGACTACGTCAGACGAGCGCGACGGCCTGCCCTCACCCGCCTCCCGGCCTCGCTCGGCGCTGCGCGGGGTCCTAAAGACCCTCAGCCCGCGGAAGAGGAAGGGCGCGAACCCTGTCCTGCCCGTCCGCCGCAGAGAGGCCCGCGCATGGAGCCGCGCCCACTGAAACCTGGCCTCCGGACCCAGACTGGTTATAGACTGTGCTTGCAAAGAACCGTTTCATCTACTCCTTCTTGTTCCTTGGTTCATTCAGTAAATCCTTACTGAGCCCTAAGTGCTGAGGTTGGGGACTTTCGCAGAGCAAGACACCGTTGCCCTTATAGGCCAATTTTTCTTAGAAGTCGCTGAGGCCTTCCAAACAATCCTGCTTAAGTTTTGTTCCTATTGAAATGTATATGTTTGGGCCCGCCCGGTGGCGCACTCTGTAGAGTGCACCGCTTGAGAGTGCGGCGGCAGCCGAGGGTTCGGATCCTATATAGAGACTGGTCCGCTCACTGGTTGAGCACGGTGCGGGCGCGACACCGAGGGTTGCGATCCCATTGCGGTCGCGGTACGGGCGCGACACCGAGGGTTGCGATCCCGTTACCGGTCACGAAAAAAAGACAAAAAGGAAAAAAAAAAAAAAAGAAAAGAAAAGAAATGTATATGTTCAATGGGCTTTCTTCTAGTGGTCCTGTTGCAGGACCCCAGATGCGCAAAGAAAAACGGAAACTCGGGGAAGTCAGAGAGACGTGATTGTCAGAATGAGATATATATTAAAATACAGAGACACTTGGCCAAACTTAACAGTAAATTGTCACTACAGGAACATTACACGTTTTAACTTGTAAAAAAGTTTATATTAACAGCAAAAATATCGTCCTTATCAATTCCTTCACACACTTGTTAGATATGATGTCCTAACATGATGGAGACATTTTGGTGAATTGTCATTGTTCCATGTGTACTTGGTTTGGACAGGAAAGTCACATTTCTGGCTTCTGAGCCGAAAAAGTGTTAGTCCTTTGTTGTCAGACGGATTACCTAATCAAATGATCCAAAACGTGGAGTGCATTGCAGTATGCAGTCAGGAATAAAGAACCTCTTATTTACTGTAAGACCAGCATCTCTCATATTTCCATACTTGTGACTCTCATGAAAAAGTAATGCTGATATGAAATAATAGCCCCAAAATCTATATACATATAAAAGTATTTTCATTAATAGTAAGGGAAAACATTAATCTTCTTTCATCCAATGAAGTATATCTTCCCATTTTCTTTTCTCCATACTTGTCCCCAAAATGTTTAAAAACCCATTCATTTGTCTGGATAAGCAGTCCCTTCAGAGTTAACATAAATCCCTTCAGAGTTCCCCACACCTTAGAGTCAGGAATATATCTCCTTATACTTCATGCAGCTAGAAGCCAATTTGAACTTTATAAATCTTTTGTGTTGGGTTTGCACCCTTGACAGTGTATTACTTGTGGTCAACAAATGTAGGAATGCTGTGCATTTTATTGATCTAATTATTTCAGTCTCATGTTCTGAGATTTAATTGTTATGTATGAAACAGACAATTTGATAAGTTAGACAGAAATACTTCCATTTACAACTCGAATCATACTATGTCCTGCATGCTCCACCAATACATAACAATAGTCTTGGATAAAATACTAATGTAAGAAGTGTAAGTTTCAGAATATATTTAAGAGTCCAGGGCGATCAGGGTTTAGAGGCTCTTTCAGCACAGATGAAGACTAAATAAGAATGATCTATATGAAGACTCAGGTTGAATAATTTATATTTAAACTAAAAATTGGAGGGAAGCCAATGAGAATTCAGCATTCAATGTATAGACGAACAGAGAGACAAAGGGATTAAGAACATACTTTGGGAGTTGGACAGTCCTGGGTTTAAATACTTAGTCTACCACTGTGCTAGCTCTGTAACTTTGGGCAACTTAACCATTTTAACCCTCATGCTCCTCATCTGTAAAATGGGAATAGCCGTACTATACCTTATAGGGCATTGTGAGTTTTGAATAAAATAATTCATGTCAATCACACATACAAATAATAAATGTTAGCTCTTGCTGTTTTGTTGTAACTTGCTAATTAGAAGTTTTGGTGGGGATAATTTTTCTCAAAAAAGAGTTGAGGTTTAAGACCCAAGCTTTTTTATGCTGAGTTGTTTGCTTTGAACTATTTCCAACCACTCCTTGCCGGTTCTCAGTACTCAAGAGATGCCTTATTATATCCACATATGTTAACATATCTTACAGAGCTGCTGTGAGAAGTAAGAGATATGAGACAACCAGTCTCCGCTAGGGCCATGGCGAACAGAAACGTGGGGTCGGAGTTGCAGCAGAGAAACTCCATGAGTACCATGTCTACTGGAGCAGTGAGAGCAGAACCGCCATGGAGACCCGAGATTTGTTTGGGTACAAGAGCTATTGGTGTGCCTGCAAGAGCTGAAGCACAGCTTCAGACCAGGAAAGCCATAAGACTGGAGCTGCTCAAGGATGTGGGGACTCAACCCCCTGCGCCAGCATGCAGACGATGTCGAACATGGTGTCAAGGTACATGATTTGCCAGCTTTAAGGTTTAATGCCCATCCTGCTAGTTTTTGGACTTTTTTGGAACCTGTTACCCCTTTCTTTTGGCTTATTTCTCCCCTTTGGAAAGGGAATATGTATCGTATGCTTGTCACACCATTGTATCTTGGAAGTAGATAACTTGTTTTGATTTCACAGAAAGGACTTTCAACTCTGGACTTTTGAGCTGATACAAGTTAAGACTTTGAAGATGGAATGAATGTATTTACCTGTGAGAAGGACATAAACTTTGGGGCCAGGGGTGGAATGCTATGGATTGGTTGAATTGTGTCCCACTGTAACTGATGAAGGTGGGAAATCCTATTATGGTAATTGAAACATGAGACCTTGCAGAGATTATTAGATTGTAGGACCATGCCATAGTGAATGGATTACTAATGGTAGTCAGTGGCTTGGTTCTGAGGGCTTTAAAAGGAGAGCAGGTGAGAGTCTCTCTTTCTCTCTGCTGTTCCATTTTCTCCAATGTGAGACCCCTGTATTGCTGTAAAGCTACCACTGAAAAAGGCCCTTACCAGATGTGTTCCCTGGACTTTGGATTTCCCAGCCTCCAAAACCATAAGCAATAAATTTTGTTTTCTTATAAAAAAAAAAAAAAAGAAAGAAAGAAAGAAATGATATGTGGTGTACAAAACACCTGGCATATAGAAAACATGCAAGCCATGGCAATTCTCTTTTACTCCACGTAAGGGATGGTTCCAGCCCTAGCTTCTTTTTCCTTGTTGTTGTCCTGGTTGTTGTTGTCTTATGATAAGAGAAAACAGTTAAGGAAAATGGTATGTTAGAAGAATCTCTCAAAAGCCTGGTCTTGGGTAAGGAAGTACATTTATTAAGGTGTTTCTTTAGACAGGCGGGTATAAGAATGATTGCAGTAGCTTATATCAGAATCCTTTTTAGATGAAGACTCAACTGCACTGGGTTACTCTCTGGTATTAAACTTGGGATGAAGGTGTAGAGAGATTAAATTTCAGCTGAGCGCTGGAGAAGAAAACCTGGTTCATTTCCACATGAAATGGAGATTCTCATGATATAACAAATATAGGTAATGATTATCAATAGGTGCATTAGGTGAAAAGGTAATAGAACCTTATAATGGGTGTATCAGGCTAATGTCTTAACATCACAAAAGGAGAACCAACTAGACATTATGTTTTTCCAGATGTGATGCAATAGGAGTTACACAATACTATTTACACAGTCTTTTTGCAAAAAATTGATCTAACCTCTAGCTCTATCAGTTTACAGAAACTACAGGGGACAAAAAAAAACGTACAGCAGAACATACTCTGGGAGTTGGACAGTCCTGGGTTTAAATACTTAGTCTACCACTGTGCTAGCTCTGTAACTTTGGGCAACTTAACCATTTTAACCCTCATGCTCCTCATATGTTAAATTCAGTCATGTTAAATTACCAAAATCAACGTTAAATTTGGGAAAATCTAGAGAATAATGACCTATTTTCTACAACAAATTACAAAGGAAAAAAAAAGAGGAAAATGGAATTTATGGATTGAAAGAAACTTAAGATATATATCAATAAAATGCAGTATGTTGGCTTTGTTTGAACACTGAGTTAAAAATAAACCAACTATAAAATAAAATTTTATAGGGCCGGCCCATGGCTCACTTGGGAGAGTGTTGTGCTGATAACAGCAAGGCCACAGGTTCGGATCCCTATATAGTGATGGCCAGTTAGCTCACTTGGAAGAGCGTGGTGCTGACAATACCAAGTCAAGGGTTAAGATCCCCTTACCAGTCATCTTTAAAAAATAAATCAATAAAATTTTATGAGTTAATCTGGAAAATATGGGGCCGGCCCTGTGGCTTACTCAGGAGAGTGCGGCGCTAGTAGCGCCAAGGCTGCGGGTTCGGATCCTATATAGGGATGACCAGTGCGCTCACTGGCTGAACGTGGTGCGGACAACACCATGCCAAGGGTCGTGATCCCCTTACTGGTCACACACACAAAAAAAGAAAAATTGGAAAATATGAAATTTTTTAAATGATAGTAAGGATACTTGATGATAAGGAATTATTGTGGCTTTTTCAGGTGTTATAATGGTATTGTGATGAGATTAAAGAAGTATTTATTAATTAAATGATACCATATTTAGGTTTGTTTCAAAATAATGCAAGGAGAGGAAGGACTGTATGCATATATAAATCAAGCAAGATTGGCCATGTGTTGACAATTATTGCAGCTGAGTGATGGATATGTAGGAGTTCACTACACAGTTATAACTATTTGTATGTGTTTGAAATTTTTCCACAATGTGGTAGAAAGAGAGAGAGAGACAGAGAGAAGAGAGATACAGACCTAGAGACAAAAAATAAATTAAAAGCCACAGGTATGGCTATTTT